CACACACACACACACACACACACACACACACACACACGCACACACACACACACATACGCACATATACACATACACAAACGCATACACACGCACGCATAATACGCACGCGGACACAAACAAATACACACACTCACAGACACTCATGCGCATACACACCATTGGAGAGTTTGCTAAATACACGAACTTGATCGCGGATAATACGCAGACAGATGCGCTTAAAAGACTGACATCGGTAAATCAAGGAAGCTACAAAACGGACTTGTCTGCACTTAGATGAGAAAATTGGATTGACGGGCATTTTTTTCCTCTGTGAATCCTATTTAATCAAGTCGGACATCAACCTTTCCATCCTGTTTTCGTTTATTCACTAGGTCCATGTGACCTCCTGATGGTAAAGGAACCAGGTACGAAGGAACAATTTCAAATGAAAAAAAATCTCTTGGTCTCAAAGAGGCCATTTGGTGGCTTTTATTATGAGTCGTTTCTGTTTGAATATGGTTTGGATTAACTTTTATAGAACTTTGACCTCAGACAGATATGAATACAGTTTGAAAAACACAGACAACTTGCTACCTCAGAATTACAACGTTGTATCTGCTCCGCACTTATTTTTGAGAAATTTGATGCCATAGACGTTGAGTCTCACATTATATTAAGCTTTTTTAAATGCGACTCTTTGAATATCTTGATAACGACTCTGAATAATCTTACGACTTTGATAGAGCAGATAGAACATTTGTTTCTGACTTCATGGTCGTAGTAACCCAAAACGGCCAAAAATGTTAGAACTTTGTAATTCTGAGGTAACGATTGTCGCCTTCGGGGAGGCGAGCGAGGCATAATAATATTCAGGTCTTACCAGGTTTTCTACAGGTGTGAAGAAATCTAAAGCAGTTTCTGCCCCGTCCAGCAGCACTGACATGTGCATTTCTCTGTCGCATTCTGAGGAGAAACACACACAAAAAAATTGACTTATGTTTTGAGCAAATGATAGTATTAACAAGCAAATTAACCACAACGTTATAGTAGAATTTCCTTTCCTCGATATTATTAATATAATTTTGATTACAGACTGTTATGACAAAACGTATGTCTGATGATTTTGTACTTTTTTCAGTTCCTTGTCCGTGATGTTGTTATCCATATTTTGATAGTAAAGTGAGACATAGGAGGTCGTTTCTTTTTGTCGATTATTTTTTCAACTAATCTTTCTTCAAGTTGGTGTCACTGTTTTTGTGTGTGGGGTGAGGAAAAAGTGTTTGAATAAGAGAACAAACTATTCATACAGTTTCTATATCGTTTTGAAGTCGCAATATAAATTCCGATGTGTAAGCTTTGAGATATACTCAACTTTGTTTTGTACATTTCGTCTAACAGAATATACTGATAATTAACATGCAAAAGACTTCGCTACTTGCCAAAATTGGAATGAAAAGGGGAGATACGGTTACAGGAAATTTCGAAGGACAGAGTGACGGTTATAGGGCGAGTGAATGAGGTGTTGGGTCGGCAAAGGAAAAACGTGTGTCTCTTTTCTGGTTTGAGTCAGAAACGACTATAACACCCTAAGGAACCCCCCTTCCCATCTCTCTCTCTCTCTCTCTCTCTCTCT